AGTTTTACGCTGTGTCCATGTTCCAATTTGGAGTAGTTTAGATGGTTGGTTATTGAAACTTCCCCACAAACACATACTATTTATTGAAGAATATACACCCTAGGGTAATTCAAAAGGCATATTTTGAACCTTGGCGTGGGATCATTTTTCCCTAGTTTGTTCCAGGTGTAGTGGTAATGAGCGTTTTTAAATGTATTTTTTTACTTTTAAAAACTAGTTTTTAAACTTTTGTATTGCTTATTAATTTATTTTTTTTAAACTTTCCTAAACTTTTTTTTACAGATTTAACATTTTTCTAAGCTTTTTACCATTAACTCCTAACTAGCAGTGAGCAGCACTAACAGTAAATTCCCCATTTTCCCCATAACTCCCACCCACCCCAGTTAGCAAAATATATAATAATAAAATATTTAAATTAGTTAATTAAATAAATTGAGGGTTAAAAAATAACTAAAAGTTAATCGTCAGGGGTTAAAAAAAATTAGATCACAGTATAATACTGTGATCTGTATTTTGATCACTCTAGGCAGTGATCGACTGGCAGGGTAGGGGTTAATTTTTATTTGGACTGGCTAAAGGGGGGTGTTTATTTTTTACTTAAACGTTATTAAAAAAAAATTCTTTAACTTAATTTTGAACTTTTTAAAGCTTATTTTAAAACTTTTTTTAATGTCAACCCCTAGTTAGCCTAACACCAAATCCCCCAATTCCCCACTAACTTCCACCCACCCCAGCTAGCTAAATTTATAATTTTAAAATATTTAAATTAATTAATAAAATAAATTTAACCCCTGAGGGTTAAAAAAAAAAAAGAATTAACCCTCATGGGTTAAAAAAAAAAAATAAATAAATAAAAAAAAATCAGATCATTGTAAAATGTAATCCCTGCCAATTGATCACTGTAGTCAGTGATCAATTGGCAGGGAAGGGGTTAATTTTTTTATTAAAATGGCTAAAGGGGGGGGGTGGGATTTTAAATTAACTTAATTTTTTATTTACACAGGGGGCAGGATCATCACTGTACCGGCTCCCTGCACTTCACACAGAACCAGGAAGTGCAGGGAGGCGGAAGGTAAGGATACTAAGCACATGTGCTCACTCTGACAGGCTGTCAGAGCGAACACATGTGCTGGGCAGCGAGATCGGGTGCTCCCGGTCTGCCTCTAATACAGAGGCAGACTGGAGCACCATTAACCCCGCGATCGCGGTGATCTGGGGTTAATTTTACAAGGTCCGTCACTCGTCGTTAAGGGTTTCCCCCGGGACTTGGTCCGTCACTCGTCATTAAGGGGTTAAATATATAAATAAAATATTCAGGGGACTCCGTTCTCACTCCTGGGAGATGATTTTGCCCGCTTTCTTCTTTTTCTAGATAAGAAAGTACCATCCTGCATAATAGGAGCAAACTATGAATAATGCACCACATAAAGCAAAAAAGTGCTAAGTGCAAAAATAGTATTTTTTTCACTTTATTTGGCAACAGCCACTTCCTGCAGTTTCATAGAGTGAAGGGCACGGGGACACTGGAATGTTAGGAACAGAAATTTGTATTTCTTACACTACAGTGTTCTTTTAAGAAAATAGAGAGTGAAAAAAAAGGAAAGCAAACTGAAGAGCGGACCCTGGGGGAGGAGCGGACCACCCAGGTGCTGTGTAGATAGGTGGGATTGTCGGCACTAGGCTCTGCCCCCTTATTTAGATACCACCTCCACTTGTTAGATCCTACTACATGCAAGCAGCGCTGGCCAACAGAGGGGTGGGGTCTAATGAAAGGAGGCAGGGTCTACCTGAGGGGGCAGAGCCTATCTATACACTACCTGGGAGGTCCGCACACACCCACAATTGGCCCTGGCAATCTGAATACTATAAGAATGAATAGTCTATGGGGGTAAAGTATCTTGCACTTGACCTATGTGAGGTCA